CAAAAAGGAGGGAGGATTGGGATTTAGACCTTTCTCAGTTGTCAACCTTGCCCTCCTCACTAAGCAAGCCTGGAGGGTGATTTCTTCCCCTGAAGCTCTCTGTGTTAAGGTGCTGAAAGGGTTGTATTTCCCAAGAGGAGATTTCTTGGAAGCAAGAAAAGGTAGCCGAGCGTCGTGGATTTGGGGCAGTCTTTGTGAGGCACGCAAGTGGCTTAGGTTGGGGATAGTGAAGGTGATTGGGAATGGGTGTAGTACAAATATCTTTAAGGACCCGTGGATCACCTCCCTACCCGGTTTCACTATTCAAACGCTGAATCAAGATGTAAGACGAGTTGAGGAGCTTATCAATCAGGACAACCGGTCCTGGAATCTATCAGGGATGGAAGATCTTCTCTCGGCAGAGGTTCAGCTGGCCATTTCTAGAATTCCGATTGGTTCCCAAGAGATGGAAGATTTCTGGGCCTGGAGATTCACGAACAATGGGGAGTTTTCTGTTGGATCTGCTTTTCATGCTTGCCATAATAGAATCAGGTGGGGAACCGCCGGAAATCCAGGCATTTCTCAAGAGGAGAAGGACAGATGGAAATGGCTCTGGAGCTTGAACCTCCCTCCGAAGGTCACCTTTTTCATTTGGAAAGCTTCGAGAGGAGCCTTGGCTACCAAGAGGAATCTTTTCGATCGACACTGCGCAGGGTCCAAGGCTTGCCCTTTGTGCAACTTTGAAGAGGAAACCATCTTTCATGTCTTGTTCGAATGTCCTCATGCCAAGGAAACTTGGAAACGGTTCGCCCCCTCTCTGCCTCTTCCACCACCCTCGGCAAAAGTAAACTTCTGGTTGTGGGAGGTAGGAGAAGCCTTCCCGACAGAAGGGTCACAGACTGCTGTCTTTACCCTTTGGAATATCTGGAAAGCTCGCAATGAGATGATTTTCAGGAACCGACCACCTTGGCCACAACGCACCATCTCCCAGACATTGAATGAGTTTCTCTTCTGGAAAAACTGTCCAAAAAAAAGAAGAGAGGAACCAGGTTTGCCAATTCGGCCTACTCCACCTCTTTCTCACCACCCCCCCCCCCCCACCACCGCCAAGTAATCCCCACGAGGTGATTCACTGTGATGGATCGTATTATGACGATTCCCAGGAGGCGGCATATGGGATTGTTGTCCTTAACACCCATGGTAAGGTCTGCGAAGGAAAGGCCGACTCCCTGCTCTGCGAATCAGCGTTGGAAGCGGAAGCAGTAGCAATTCAAGAAGGGTGTAAGTTTCGCCATTCTCTCTCCCCGGCGTGTATTATCAAATCTGACTGTAAGGTTTTGGTTGATGCGATTGTTGGGCCAAGACATAAATGGCCATGGATTGTTGCAGCACGTATTGACGCTATCCTTGACAGCTTAAGCCGACTCCAAGATGTAAAGGTTTCTTTTGTTAGGAGAGAGCAGAATGTTCTGGCAAACTGGGTTGCTCGGTCACGAGCAAAGAACCATCTCCCGGAGGACTGGATTTCAGTCCTAAATGTTTTGCTACCAATCTTGTAACCTTTGCTTGATTAATGGGATTGCAGAGACTTATTGTAAAAAAAAAAAAATCTTGCCTCTTATTTCCAAACACCCGCCTACATCGCTCGCGCCAGCCAAATCTCACTAACCCCAAGGTTCCATAAGAGCCTTTAGACTTTGCATTTGCTAACTATCCGCAAAGCACACACCCCAGCTTGAGGGAAACAACACCTACATACAGTGCTTAGTGTACAAACACTTAAAGAAAATATGATCTCTATTCTCACTGTCCATAGAGCAGAGAGGGCTAGTAATGTCTATGCTTGGACACCATTTAGCTATTTTATCTAGTATGCTTATTCGCCCCATCGAAAGTAACCAGACAATGAGGGAATTCTTTGGTATATTGTCCTTCCCCATACCAATTTATAACCTGAGAAGTCTTCTTGTCACGGCCCGAGGTGATCTGATAGACCATTAATTGCACATGTTTACACCTCCATTCTTGAGTCGTTTGAGGATCGATTCTCGTGTTTTAAGCCGTTTCAGGCTAGGTTGTGTGTTTATGTCATATTTCAGGACTTGGAGTTGATGTAAAGGCGAGAAAACGAGTTTTGGGTCAAAGAGGAGGACATTGGAGTGAAGGGCGCTGGAAGAGCAAAATACGCGGCCAGGAGTTAAAATACCCGACCGGGTAAGATGCTAAGCGAGGCAGGGGAAAACTGTTTTTGGACGTCAAGAGGGCAGAAGGGGTCCCGGCCTGAGAGCAAAAATACCAAAATAAGTATTCTGGACCACAACCGGGTATTAATCCCCCTACACAATGGTGTGGGTTTTGAAATCCCCGGCCGGACACCTAAAATACCCGACCGGGTATTATGGTCGGGGATCGCGATCTGCTGGTTCTTAAGGAAAAGAAGGCCAACTTTTGAAGGGTTCCGAGTTTTAGAGAGAAAAAGCTTATACATAGAGAGAGGGAGAGAGAGAGAGAGAGAGAGAGAGAGAGAGAGAGAGAGAGAGAGAGAGTGATGAACCTGATTCTCCAAGTGCCCTAGATCGATCTTCATCACCATTAGAGCCCGACTTGAGCTTGGAGAAGTGCTGATTGATTGCCAGAAACATAATCCCATCCTTCACAATATGGTTTCCGCATCTGGGCTAGATTTCCCTTCTCTCTCTATGGAGTAAACTTTCTCATTCATCTGGGTATGAAGAACCCTAGATTTGTATGTTAGGTCTGATTGTATGAACCCAAGTACGAATTCAGTGATATGATTATATTCAATTGAGGTTTGATTTCTTGAATGGCATGAATCCTGATCAAATTCCTGTTATTTCTGCTTTGACCTAGAAAGAGAATATCTTCCTAGGTTGATAGAGAACCCTTGATTGAAGGTAGTGAATTGAAGACTTTAGTCGAGCAGTCAATTCACTATTCTGTATCGGATTTACTTTGGTAGAGGAGGTTTGGTTCGTTAGGGCCTCAATTTGTTTACTCCAGTGGATGTTAGTCGCCCGCTGGGAACTCAGATTGAGAGTGTCTGGAGACCTTTAGTCGAGACTGCAGACTGTTTAAGAACCTCCAGCAATATAACTATCTTTGAACTTGAACTTGGTGAATTACAACATGGCTTAACTACAGTCTAGGCGGAACCATATCTGGGTGACCTCTCTCAACTTGAACACAACTTTCACTGCTTTTTCCTACTAGCTTAACTAAACCTTCACTACACTTGAACCGCTAAATAATAAGATTTTCACGGAGTAGTCATCACGCCTAGGACCCGGGTTGACAATTAGAACTGAACCCGCTATACTACGCATTAGTAGGTGGTTACACTTGGCCACTTTCTAGTGTGACTGTAGAGGCGTGTCAATTTTTTGGCGTTGTTGCTAGGGACGGCTAGGTTGTTAAGGAAACATGATTTCTGTTACTTTAGCATTTCCATTTTCGTATTGATTGTTTGCTTTTTCCTGCTTGTGCCTTCACGGGTTTGCTTGCTTGGCTGTGTGTAGGTAGTGCATTACCGTAGCCAGTTGTGTAGGGTTAGTAGCTATTCTCGGCTACAACTAGGTTACTTATTAGGTTTATCGAATAAGTAAACCTAAACCAGGTATTCTCGCCTATATATTGTAACTGCGACATTAGTCCAGTTTATCGAATAATAAACCTAAACCATTTTTTCACACTTTATGTCGTTCTCCCGCTTGTGAGCTGCGAGAAAATCCAAAACCGAGAGCATCAATCCATCATGCTAATAGCTATGATGCAATTTCCAAAAAATGAAATACTAAAATGGCCGAGGAAGCTTTCTGCCATAGTTGATTGTGTTAATCAAAATCCCACAATGCTCAGACAAGCCTGGAGAGAAAATCCGAATCAAATAGGAAGGAAATTTGCCAATCCATTAAGTGTTAGCAAGTGCTCTATCCAATTGTTTTGCAATTGGATTATTCACCTGCTTTTTCATCCATGTGAACCATGGGTCAATAGTATGAGGCTCTTCTAGTTTCATATCATTTATCCAGTCTGTCAAATTTTGATAGCCAACCCCAAGATATGCCCCATGATAAGCCTCAGTCTGAGCAATGATCTCACTGTAATCACCCACTACTAACCGTGATTCACCCTGCACTACTTGGTTTATGAGCTTCTGATAAAGCAGTTTCCTTTGCTCTGACTCATTAGATGCATAGACAAAATTGAGTTGTGTTGCTTCCTTCCAAGTACCCTACAATGAATATACTGATCTCCTTTATCCAAGACAGCAAACTGAATATCTTTCCTCCACAAAACCCATATTCTACCCACCTCTCTTGCTGAATAGGTATCACAGAACTACCAATCCTTGAAATTGTCCTCTAGAATTTTTTGCACCTTATCCTTTCTAACTCTAGTTTCCAAAATAGCTATTATATCTACTATATATTGCATGACCATCTATACTATATATTCATGTTTCCACGAGAGCACAATCATTTAACTACTTTGAGTTTGGGAGGCCTTCCTGGCCCTTTATTACCCTTTTTCTGCGGTTCGGGATCTCTTTGTCAAGAGCAGAAAACTCTTTAGGATCCTTTAAAGGTGAAACCATGACTTGCCCAAACTCAAATTGATCTAAAGTGGCTAACACTTCAAAAGCATTCTCTTCCCGGGGCATTCCTAATTGACTCAGCATAGCTTTCTAACATTCAATATTATAAGGTAGAGTATTCACAGGTTCCTCCAGGGAAGACTGCTGATTCCCCACTACTGAGGCCAACAAATTAGTGGCTGCCAATAGAAGCCCGGCCTCAGCTTGAGTTGTAGCATCAGAAACCCCATTATGCACAGCTAGCTCAGCAACTTTAGGCCCCTCAGCTGGAATCCCCTTCTATACAACCATCCCTGCATCTACAGGAGTAACCACATCATCTGTTGACTGGACAACTTCTGACCCCTCCAGATTCGCATTACTCTTGAACCCAAATCTTTTTCGATTCATCACAGTTTTGGCCAAACTAGTGACACTTCTGGCAGATGGCAGGCATGTTACAATATTTTAGTTGAACAAACATAGCGGGATTTCGATTCGGAACTAGTTTCAGCTCATTTGGAAACTCTTCATCGACCGTCATCTCCACAAGCACCTTGGGATATCCCAATCTCTGCCCTAAACGAGTTGATTGGTCGATCCATAGTGGCTTCCCCAATTTGCTTGCAAGGCGCATAAGAACTCGACCTGAAACATATTCCAAAGTGAGTTCAATGAACTTGACCCAGATTGGGACTTCTGGTGGAGGCTTCTGTGCTCGAATTCCTGGTGCCCACTTCCTGATGTACCACATATCATCCCTGAGGTGCTAAGGAGCACTTGTAAATACCAGTGCGCTGCCGCCTCAGACGAAAACTGGAACAGAAGCTTTTTGCCTAACCAGAAAACCCTAATTTTCCCCGATTCCCCCCAAAGTCTATTCTCCCAAGCCTGAACCTGGTGAATATGAGGAGAGCTCGTGAGAAATTGGCCAATTAGCAAAGACTTCCATCGCGCAATTCCTTCCTCTTCAAGCTCTGTTGGAATCTTGATTCTCAATCCTCAATCTTTGGTTCTATGTAGACGAGGCGATTTTCCTCTGCGATCCCAAATAGCTCCGCCTACGATCTCGAATTATTCGTCATCGCTCAAGAAGAGGGGGAAGTCTTTTACCAAACTTGGGATTTTTTGAAAATTACATTTTGGTACCAAAATATATATTTTCTTACAATTTAGTACCTATAATTTATTTTTTTTACAAATAGATCCACACATTTTGGTGGAAAAATTACATTTTTACTACCTTTATATTATTACCTTGCATTAAAGTATCTAAACTTTACAAAGAGATTCAATGTGTTGGTATTAGAAATTTCATATCACTAGTTGTTGTTATGGGTCGTTGCACACCCTATCATGCACAATTAAATAAAAAGCTAAAATTACAAATCTAAGTAATGAGTTTAGTTGTAATAAATACTAGAAACATTTAGCACAACTAATTTAAAAGTCTCATATTCGAATTGCTAAAATGGTACCTAATTACTAAAAAATAAACTTAGCTAATTTAGATAATCAAAGAATATTCCCACAAAAAAATGTGAAGCAATTTTTTACCGATCTGGCGCGGTGAAAATATTGGAAAGGGAACACGTGTCGCACGACTCCTAGATCGAGGGCCTAAAATGGGGAAACGATCATTCACGGAGCACTTCTACTATGCTATATAGTATTGGTGCTTTAATGTACAACTTAAAGTTGTACCATAACATTAAATGTATAAGTTTAGGTTGTACCATAAAACAATTTGTACCATTATGCAATGGTACAACTTTACAACTTGAGGTTGTACCATCACATAAAGGTACAAGTTCAAGTTGTACCATAAAAGAATTTGTAAAAAAAGTATAGGTACAATCTAAAGTTGTACCATAACGTAAATATACAATTTTAAGTTGTACCACAAAAGTAAAATCCTATAGCACCAATACTATATAGCATTGTAAAATTTCTCTCAGTTACGTAACCGGAATCTTGAGCAGCAAAGCAACGCAATGCGGGAATGCAAGTCCCATAAATGGCAAGTGATGCAGAGAATCGAAACACATAGTTTGGGATATTAGGTTTCTAGGTTTTGTGGTGTTTTCTGGACAAAAGTAACATGCAAAAACAAGAGGAATTTTACAATGTTATATAGCATTAGTGCTATAGGTTTTTCTCTTTGTGGTACAACTTGAAGTTGTACTTTTAACGTTATGGTAAAATTTTAGATTGTACCTATACTCTTTTGTCAAATTGTTTATGGTACAATTTAAACTTGTACTTTAATTTGATGGTACAAGTTTAAGTTATAAAGTTGTACCATAAGATAAGAGCACAAATTCCTTAATGATGCAACCTGAACTTATACATTTAACGTTATGGTACAACTTTAAGTTGTACATTAAAACACCAATACTTTATAGCATAGTAGAAGTGCTCGCCAAAACAAGGAAAAGTGTACATCGAGTTTGCAATATAGTTATATTATCTTCTGAGCATTACAAATCTTTTTATCCTATATATGATAAGTATGTTTCTGCTTTGTTGTTCATGCTAATTAATATTTGATCGAAGTAGAAGACACGTGGAATATTTGTATCGAATTTAAATATCGTGGACCAGCGTAATGTCTAAGTGTGTCTACAAGTGAAATGACTAATATAAAATACACTCTACACATTTTGAGAAAACAAATGTCAATAAATAACATTCTGTTACATCTACAAAATCACTTAACTTTTTTTATTTGCGTATCAATTAACCACACCCTAGACATATCTTTTTAGCATTGATCGCACTGCATCAACTACATCTCTTCCTACACCAATACACTATTAGAAAATACTTCATTAATTAATAGAAAATAAGAAACCAGCATCACAAGAGTCGAACACATAATCTACAATTGAAACAAATTAAAACAAACTTAACATAAAAGGTACCTCATCATATGCAAATCCACTGGAGATGTGGTAGGCTTCTGGCCACTATCTTACCTTCATAAGCTTTCCGGAAATGCATAATCTTTTCCTTATAAATTGAGATCATTCTCTAAGCTACCACATGTTAATTAGCTACTAATAGGATTTATTTGGTAAGAAGAAAAGCGCTAGCAAAGAACTATATTAGCGGTCCCTTTTCAAGTTCGTTTTTAGTAAGATAGGAAAATTATAATAAATACAGGCGAACTCCTTCGTTTGGCGGATTTGTTGCTTTATTCCTAGAGCATATGTGTGTCGATCTTACTTAGTTTTCACTTTTGACCCCGACTGAGATGATTAGTTCTGTGTCATATCGTGTTGTTGTTGATGATGCTCAACGAAAGTGTAACAAGTTGTGCATGGCGGCTGGTTACGGTTCCTTCCCTTTTCTTTTTCTTCACTCGGAGAGTTGGTCACAAAAGCAGCTGGTTACGGATCCAGAAATTCTCCATGTCACATGATGTGGGGACTTGGGCAGCCACATTTTTACTAGACTTAGTTTTGCTGTAATTTAGGGTGTGGGAGCCCAAACTGTATCTCGGCTGCCACTAATTTTTTGTAGGACTTTGTTTGATGTTAAATGAAACTGATATATTACCACTAAAAAAATAAAACATCTAAACGAAAGGGAGAAGTAATTGAAACTATTAAAATTAAATTTAGTAATTTACCATCCAATATTTTTAGACTCTAGTAGTATCAAGAATAGTAAAGTAATTACCACTATTTAGAAAAGGGAAGTATTATCATTATGTCATAACTATTACCGAAGGAAAGCGGCTAAGTAAGATATGATAAATTGATAATATACATGACCTAGTATGTGTTATTTACTTTATTTTCAAGGGTGACAGACAAGTTAATTATTGAACGAGAGAAATGTGTGTCTTATATATAAGGTGATGAGGCCACTTAATGAACATAATCAGACAAAACGAGGGGTTGGGATATAGCACACGTCGGTAGAATTAAACTGCAATCATCAAATGCATAGCACCTGTGCTATTTGCTTTCACTCTCACTACGAACTAATTAAAGATGTTTTTTTTTTGCCCCAAATTGTAAAAGAGAAAAAAACAGCCCTTTTACTTCAAGTGCTGACATCTAACTTTTCTGATTTCTCTCCACCCAATTAATCACGCCAGCTGCCCTTTGTAGTAGCTTTTTTCCCATCATAACATCACTTCACAATCGTTGGTTGGTTGGTTGCTACTTTGAATCTGTATACCGGTTGATAGGGGTGTAATTGGTCGGGTGGTTCGGATTTAGTCATTTTAATTACCTGATGCATGCATTACGATTTGATAAATATTAAATTCAAACCCATAAAAAAATTAAAATCCTACGGTTTATTTGTAATTGGGTTGGGTTGGGTCAGTCGGGTCGGGTTTGCGATATTTTTAAGTAAAGACTCAACCCAACACAAAATATATAATTATTCTACACCATAAAAATATTTTATAACTAATTAAAATTTTAAACGAATAAACCGAGGTGAAAGGTATCAAAATTCACAAATATTATTTAAATTTTAATAAAATGTGATTTACTTCAACATGAGTTTAATTTTTTTCACTATATTTGTTGAAATAGGCTAATAATGTTATAAACGAACGCATACATAATATGTTATTTTATTAAAATTGTATACAAGAAAAAAGATTACCTGAATCATATCTATATTAAATCTATGTCTAAACTTTAAGCCGAAGAATGCATTAGATTAGGGAGACCATGATAGAAAAACATGGCGAAATATCTTAATTTTCTCATAAGTATGGCTATATGCTACATAAATATTTTTTGGATACGAACTCATAACAATAGTTGGAACATGGGTTGGGTCGGGTTCTACGGGTGTGTAATCCAAAATTCAAACCCAACCCAAAAGAGGCGGGTTGTACAAAAGAAAATCATCACCCAACCCAAAACCTTAGTTTTAGCGATAAATATGGGTGGGTTGGGTCGGGTTGGATGGGTGAGTTGGTTTGCGGGTGTGTTTGTTCACCCCTACTGGTTGATGATTTATGATCCTCTCATATTAGGCAAAGACAATTATAGTTAGGATTGTAAATGAGCCGAGCCGAACTGAGTCGAATTTTGACTTACTTTGAGCTTGGTTTGTTTATGAAATTTGTGGATTGTGTTTGATTTGAGGTCGACTTATTAAATAGTTCGTGAGAACGGCTCGAGCTCATTTATATTATTATAATTGTTAATTGTCCTCATCATATTATTTAATAATAATTAGTGGATGAGTACGTATGTCTTTTTTAATATTATAAATGAGACACATATGATAATTAACATGCTAAAATGATTAAACAACATAAGTGATGATTATATATATATAATCTAACGAACCTATGAATTCAACAAGCCAATGATAAATTATTATTTAATTGGCTTATAAGTTGCTAGTTGAGATGATTATCGGTAGCCATACTGGTTTCAAGACAGCCCTTCATGCTTTCTACTCACCCGACCACGTACGACCGCCCGGGCTTTCTTGACATTATCTCGATCCTCCTAGCTACAGGCGAGAGATCTGTCATTCAATATATTTGCCTCGACGGAAGTCTTTGTGATTTGTCACCTCACAAATCGAACTGAAAGAAAGAAGACCAAAACGTACACCATGGAAATGCGCCAATTAATTATTTGGAGAGTGACTGCATCCTAACCTTTTTGTTCCACTTTGGACAGTGTTATTGCCCAAACTTACAAAGGCAGATTCCTTATACTTTGCTTTCTTAGTTTTTCGTCGCAAGCAACCATTGATCTACTATTG